ACCCGAGTTAGCCCTGACCCGAGTTGCCCCTGATGATTTGGGGCTCTGGGCGCCCGAGTTATCCGGGGTAACTCGGGTCCTGGATAACTCGGGTTCGGACTCCCGAAAAACGAACCCGAGTTAGCCCTGACCCGAGTTACCCCTGATGATTCGGGGCTCTGAGGCTGAGCCCAGGGGAGGCCAACACGTGTGTCCAGGGCCGGCGAAGGCCCATGCCTTCGGCGAGGCTCCCGAGCGCATGCGTGTCTGGCTCCCCCCCCTGGGCCATTCGCCCCTCTCGTCGACGCCGCGCGGGCGCACGCCTCCGCGCAAGGCCCCGGCGTCGTCGCGCTGGCCGCGGCAGTGGCCGAGGCCGCCGCGGCCGTCCTCCTCGTCGTCCTCGTCGTCGTCCGCGTCGTCGTCGTCGTCGCCCATCCCTCTCGCCCCGCTCCTCCCTCCTCCGATCCCCCTCTTCGCCCTCCCCCCTCCCTGCCAACTGTTCCCCCCACCCCCCTCTATCGTCCTCCTCGTTCCCCTGAGGTTCTGCACCTCGCGCCTCTGCTCCTCCTCCTCCTCCTCCTCCTCCTCCTCCTCCTCCTCCTCCTTCGCCACCAGTCCCCCTTCTCTCCGCCCCCATCTCCGCACCCAGCAAATACTGTCGGACACTTCGAGGCTGGTACGATTGACCGCAGCGCTCAGTGTGGTCGGTCGGAAGTTGGTACAGGAGAAGGAATCCGCCCGATTGCTATGCGCCGAAAGCGTTGGGCAAGTGCGCCAGAACACACTGTGGCTCTATCGCGTCGCGTGCCGTGACCAGTTGCGGAATCGCCGCCTGCTGACCTTGGCGCAACGATCAAGGAGGTACTATGATACTTCGGTGCACCGAGGTCCCACCAATGTTTGATTGCGATGCTCTGATTCGGGGACTCTGACGGACTGTTGCTGCTTGTGGACTCTTCGAGGGATGTCGAACGTCTGCGGAGGGGGACTCGAGAGGAGATGGTGGCAACGACAATGGCGAAGGTGCTGATGGTAAGAAGGTTGCTGATATGATGACAGGTAGAGGAAGAACAGGTGGCATGAGGGATGACCAGGAGCGACAATGAGGAGTAATGGAGAAGAGAACAGAGGGGATGAGGAAGAAACATGGAAGGCCCTGAGTCCAGGAGGATGGCGATGATGCGCGAGACGAATCACGGACGACCATGCTGGGCGATGGTGATGAACGAGTGGGTGACAAAGCGGAAGATGATGGACGACGGAAGATGGAGGACGAAGAAGGAGGTGGAGGACAGAGACGTCCTCCTCCTGCGGCTTCGCTATGCATATGTTCTCCCAAAGGCCACCCGAATCCTCCAAGAAGCCCCAGCAGGAACCCTGCCGATTCTCGAACCTCCTCCGCTTCCTCCTTATCCTGCTGCCGTCGCTTTCCCCACCCTCCTACTCCTACTCTGCATTCTGCGCCTTCTCCTTCGTGTGAGCCCGAGTGGCGAGCATGCCAGGTTTGTACTCCACGAGTAGGGGATCGACTACAGAACTGATTTACCCCAACATTGACTTTCCCACCGAATCTAGAAACCAAGACGTATAATGCCCCGTGGATGTGCGCACATTCTATGTGTTTCGTGTGCACTCGGCAGGAAAAAAGCAATTCTTGAGTAAACTCATTCTGCAGCCGATCCCCTATTCGGATTCCTTCTGGGTCTGCCAGTGGCCCGTCAGGGTCAGGGGTGACGCATTGCAGTCATCGCTCAGACTTCAGTGCCAAACGAAGCAGACAGTCCTCGACCGCCAAACAGGTCCATCACAGTAATATGATAAACTCAACCGATTAAACATGTAAAGATCACGAGCGGCATAACAAGTAGATACCCCATGGCCGGTAGCAATTGTACTTACACTTCGATCGCATAATGTTTGAAATGATCTCCAAGCAATATAATCCCCGAGTCTCCGATGGGGGGAGGCGTGTCTAGCGAGCCGTATGCCCGAAGTTTGGGGTAACCCGCGCTTTCCTGCCATCATTGTTACGTACCCAAACACGTCTCAAACCGTCGCCCGTGACTGCAGCTCACACCTCCCGCCATCTCCACCCAGCCCTCGCGTCTCCAACATGTGCACCACTGGCTAGGGCTCCCGCCACCCCCTGACACTACGTCACGAAAGGGCGGGGGGAAACAGAACCAACGGCCCCATCTCCACACGCGATTTACCCATCGGTCGGAAGAAGTAGGTAGAAACATGAAGTAGGAAGGCGTTGAAAGTAGATTGAGTTTCCACCCGCCTCCTGAAGAGGAGGGAAGAGGGACAACCACTCGACTCTTGAAGTAGGAAGGCGCTGAAAGTAGATTAGAATCTGGGAATCCAAAAATACCTACTTTCAACGACCGATGGGTATCCGTTTGGACCTGGGATCCCCCTGTAAGGGTCAGCCCGACGGGTAGCGGGAACGCCCGCCGGGGCTACGGCCACCGAGCTGCCGCAGGGAACGCCGAACAGGGCACGAAGGGGCCCGAAACCCGAACCGACGGCCCCGTCTCCACATTTTTGTCCGCCGGCGGCGAGGCAGAGGCAGTCCGCTCCAGAGCGTGGCTATCGGGCACTCCACCTCCTTCTTCTCCTCCTCCTCCTCCTCCTCCTCCTCTTCTCCTCCTCCTCCTCCTCCTCCTCCTCCTCCTGCAGGCTGAGTGTGGCTATCCGGGGGGCAACCTGAAGGCCAAGTGGCCGGCGTGCAGGAAGGGGGGGGAGAACGACGAGAGCGGCCGCGCGGAGGGAGGGGGAGGGGGAAAGCCACCCCGTCCCCACTCGCGTCTTTTTTCGTTTGGAGCTGGATCCCCATGCGAGGGCCCCGAAGCCCGACGGGTGGCGGGAACGCCCGCCAGGGCCACGGCCACAGTGCTACCACAAGAGCCGAGCAGGGCACGAGGGGGCCTGCCTGGCCGCGGCGGCCCTCGGTGAGGGGGCCCAGGGGCGCACCAATGAATACATACGCATCCCAGGATTCCCAAATATGTCATGTGTTCTGGGTGTTCGTCTTCCACCCCCACTTCCTATGCTTTCCCACATTTGCCTGAGAATCGACGATTCATTTCGGGGAGACATAAGACTCGGGTAAGGAGGACTCGGATTGGCCTGACGGGGCCATCACAAAAATGACGAGACCCAATCTGAAATTTGACGCGGGCTCCCGCTGCAAACATCCCACGAAAACTGGACCGTCAAAATCCAGGACGCGCTCGTCAAAAAACGTAGGCAAACCCGAGTTCCGGCTTACTCGAGTCTCACGTTTCCCCGATCATTGTGTCTGTGTGTTGTTCCCCTCCTGACTCTGCCACAAGCGAGGTCCCCGACCCAGATCCGAGGATCGGCCCACAGGTCAGAGGCCCTCCTGAACTCGACGTGGCACTTACGGCGCGACTGTTGAGACGGAGCCAAGGCGGGGACAACATCGGGCGAGGACAAATCGAGAATCTCTGAGATCCGGCAGCTGTGGAGGGTGTCTCGGGCGCCGTGGCCTTCTCAGAGCGTTCCGGAACGCTCTGAGAGCGTTCCGGAAAGCTCTGGCACGGACGTATCCTCGTCTCAGCTCCTCATGAACTCAGTATGGCCCTTACGTCGCGACTGTGCTCGCAACACAGATCCCCGAAAATCCAAGCCGCTTCCCGGGGGCCGGCTTGGCGTCCCAGTTCGTCTTCTGACGGCCCCAGGGCCAGGTGAGGCCCCCACGAGGCCGAGCACTTCGAAACGTTCCGCCGTGTCGTTGTTCATGGCGAAAGGATCTGGGCTTCAGCGTCTGGGCTGCGCTGCGCGAGGTGCGCAGGGACCAGCCACCGTCCCCCCCCTCCCCGCCCGTTGCGCGGGTCGGAGGAGAGAGGGGGATGGCAGCGGGGGTCGTAACGAGCCAACTGTCAGCTCACGAAGATGGCTTGCCCGGCGCAAGCCAGGCGCTGGGAGGCGCCAGCGCAAACATACATACATGCATACATACATACATACATACATGCATACATGCATATATGCATCCATACATACATGCATACATGCATACATGCATACACTCATACATAAATACATCCATCCATCCATCCATCCATCCATCCATACATACATACATACATACATACATACATACAAACACCCGTTCATGCATACACAGCTACCTATATACCCACCTACCTACCTGCATGCATGCATACACACATACACACACATACACATACACACATACACACATACACATACACATACACATACATATACACATGCACATACACATACACATACACATACACATACACGTACACATACACACATACACACATACACACATACATACATACGTACATGCATGCATACATACATACACGCATACATACATACATGCATGTATGCATACATACATACACGCATGCAATCATACATACAAAATGCATATCTATATACATGCATGCATGCATACATACATACGCACAAACGTACATACGTATGCATACATACAAACATGCATACATGCATATATATATATATATATACACACATTTATACATGCCGACCTACCTATCTATCTACCTACCACCAGACATACATTCACTCATAGTTGCATGCGCAATTACAAAACTATATAAGTACAATCATACATACAACATACACAAACATACACACGTTCGTATACACACATACGCACGTCCGTCCATACATGCGTGCATACGTACATACATACATACATACATGCGCACATACCTACGTACGTACATACATGTATGCGTGCATGCGCGCATGTGCATCCATGAATGCATACACAAATATTGAAACACCCACACACACATATACATGTGTGGCATGTCTCCGGAAATCCCAGGCGACAGCGCACCCCACGCGTACTTGCGGAAGCTGATGCACCATGGGAAGGCGGAGGAGAAGGAGAAGGAGGAGGGGGGGAGGAGGAGGACAGGGAGGAGGAGGAGGAGGAGGAGGAGGAGGAGGAGGAGAAGGAGGAGGAGGAGGAGGAGAAAACGCGGCGGCTACCGCGCGGGCGCGGCGGGCCCACGGCCTTCGCAGGCAAGCACGCGCGTCTGCAGCGCGGCCAGCCAGTCGGCGCCCGGCGGGCCCGACGACGGTCGCAGGGGAGCTGCCCTCGCCTCGCAGACGGCCCGCGCAGCGGCATCGGCCACTGCAGCGCGCCCCGCGGCCGCCGCGCGGGCCGCGGCGACGCGGCCCTTGGCTGCGGCGGCGGCGCCCGCGGCGCTGGGACAGCCGCGCGAAGCCCCGCCCGCGGGCGCCATGCGGCAGCGGAGCCGCGCACCGTGGCCCGCCTCAGGGCGCCGCCCGGGCCACCCAGGACGCGCTCGTGCTTTCTTCCTTGGCGGCGTAGGTGACCGCGCCCAAGACGGCGCGCTCGTGCGCCACGAGCTTCTCAACGCTGTTGAAGACCCTCGAAGCTGGACCGCACGGCGGCGGACAGCCAGCGGCATCCTTGGCAACGACGTCCGCAAAGGACTGGCCCTCCAAGCCACTGCTGTGACCGCACATCCGTCGGACCTCTGAGCCACGCCGATCAAGGACTGAGCGCCGTGAGCTGGCATCCAGGTAAGCCATGCCAGCAGCGACAAAGGCTGATATGTCGCACCGACGAGAGTGGCCACGCGAGACCACAGCTGCGCAATCCTTTTTGTTGGTTTGGTGGCCTACGCCGTCCCCGCTTCTGCTAGGAGCGCCAGGTAGTCGGTGCGAATGATGGGCGGCACCACGGTGATGGAGAGTACGAGCATGACAGCCCAGAGCTCGGCGGCTGCCGCCTTGCGGACCCAGAGCGGAGCCACGGCGCAGACGTAGGCCACGAGGTCGGGAGCGGCAAAGAGGGGGGTGTCCAAGAGGGGGGGGTGCAAATCATGACCGGCGGGATGTGCGCGGCCCAGCGGGGGGGCCAGAGACGTAATGAAATAAGAAGGGGCGCCGTGAAATCTGGGGAAATATCATGGCCCCCGCCATGATATCCACCCCCCCCTAGTCATCACCCCCCTCTTTTCCGCTCCCGAAAACGCGCAGCGCTGGAGCTCCCACACCGGACCGACCTTCATGGAACCGTCGGTGAAGCAGCATCAATCGGCGGGTGACGTCCGCGAACCAGCGGGCGGCCAACTCTGCCTGCGGCGGACGGCGCGGTAGCCGAAGCGTCAGAAGCCCACGGGTTCGAGGAAACACGAGGCCGGCCTGCGGCACGGAGAGCAAATGCCAGTAGATCTCCGGCGGCTCAGGCTTCCCGTTCGGCGGCAGCGAGGCCTCGCAGACCCTGCGATGCATGTGAAGGTGCCCGGCCCGGCGCGACTCCGCAGAGCTGGCAGCCCTGGTCCGCGACGTCTGCGCCCCACAGCCTGGCCAGGCGCACCCCCCGCAGCAGCAGACAGCAACTTTTTTGTCCCCCCCCCCCCCCTGCGCACTCCCCCTGACGCTATCCTCCGTGCAGTTCCCAGCGCAAGCACCCAGACAACAAAGCGTGGCTCGTTCCGGCGTTTTGCTCGTGGTGGCGTCTTGCTGGCAGCAGACAGCACCTGGGAGCGGCACGGCCCCGACCACTGCGGCGCCGTGCTGCGCGGGCGCCCACGGCCCTTGAGCAGGGCAGCGCGGGGGCCCCTTTGCGGCTCACGAGCACGGCGACCACGGCGGCATCCCTGCCGAGAGGCAGGTCGGGATCGCTGCTGCCGAAAGCCAGGAGCTCCTGCACCGCCCGCTGCGTGCGCCACCGGCCGACGGACCTGTGCACTGCAGAGGCCACCATCGTCGGGGACGTGAGGACGAAGTCGACGGGCTTCGCCGAGGTCGTCTGCGAAACGCCTCGGGGTGGGGCACGTCCACCCGAGGCGCCAGGCCGTGGACGCCCGCCACAGGGCCGGCCACGGCGGGCCACGGCGAGCGGCCTCTCGCCACGACACTTGCCAGGCGATCCCAGGACAGCTCGAAGCCGGCGTCCGGCCACTCTGCGGGTGCCAAGCCCTGCCAATACACCCAGCCCCAATGGCGCAGTGGTGCGGCATGCGCCGCGCGGGCGGGGATCCAAGCAAGCGCCCCCGACATCGAAGACGGCGAAACCAACGTCGACGTCATGGCTGGCGCCTGGCGGCAACACCGCCCTGAGTGCGGCGACTCGCACGCTGTAGGTGCGTGCCGGCTGCGCCGACGATGTCCACGCCGTACAGCATGCTGAGGCTGCCTGCCGCCTTCCCGCTTTGAGCGGCGTCGACACGCTGGCACCTGAGAGCGTGTGTCCTCGGGATGCGAGCTCTGAGCTCCTCTGGGCGGCTTCTCAACACGCCCACCGTCCGTGCACGGCCGCCCGCGTAGAGGGCCCCCAGCAGCTCCACGCTGCGCCTCGGCACCCGCAACCGCCGCCTGGACGGGGGGGGGGCAGCCGAACCGCCAGCCGGGGCCTCGCCGCGACGGCAGACAGCTTCTGGGGCGAGGCCGCCACAGCGCATGCCCAAGAGGGGTGCCCGGCGGCGGGGCCGACACCGCCTGCACGCAGCAGATGGTGTGAGTACCCCGCCCCGGTGCCCTCCCTCCCCCCTTCCGTTTCCCCCCTCCCCTCTCGGCCCGCTCCCTGCTCCTCCTTGACCTCCTGCTCCTGCTCCCTCCCTTGTCCTGCCATGCTGGGCCCCTCCATTTTCCCCCTGCTCCTCCCCCTCCCCCTCCCCCTCCCCCTCCCCCTCCTCCTCCTCCTCCTCCTCCTCCTCCTCCTCCTCCTCCTCCTCCTCCTCCTCCTCCTCCTCCTCCTCTTCGGCGGGCCGTGGGGGCGCGTCGCGTGCTCCTCCTCTGCTCCTCCTTCTCCTTTGCGGCGTGAGACAGTTGATCCTCCCCCTCCTCCTCCTCCTCCTCCTCCTCCTCCTCCTCTCCTCCTCCTCCCCCTCCTCCTCCCCCCCTCCTCCTCCTCCTCCTCCTCCTCCTCCTCCTCCCCCCCTCTCCTCCTCCTCCTCTTCCTCCCCCCCTCGACCTCATCCTCCACCCTCCCTTGCAGAGCCTCCCCCCTGTCGCGCTCCCAGACGTATCGGCACGGCGGCCTTGGCGCGTCACCTCTGTCGTCCTCACCGCTTACGGGCATCAAGCCTAAACGTTGCAGCACCTTGAGAATTGGAGGCCGCGTCTTTTTCCAAAACATGAATCCCGCCTTGCCGACACGCGCGCTCGTCCAAACAACATGCAGCAGCTTGAAGGATGGGTGGCGGGCCGTTTTCGAGATGCGGCCCTCGCCTATGCGCCGCGCGCGCTCGTCTAACAAACCTGCGACAGCTTCAGGGATGCAGGGGGTGGCTTCCAAACTGAGGCTCTCGCCTAAGCGCCGCCCGCAGTTTTTTTTTATTTTAAAAAAGCAGCAATTTACCAGATGGGCGGCGCTTCCTCTGCAGCGTGCGGCTCTCGCCCTGACGCCGCACATGCTCATCTCAAGCTTGTGCAACAGCTTCCTGGATGGACGGGGTCGTTTTCGAAGTGTGGACCCTGCCTCGCCGCGCAGCCTCGTGCTATAATTGGATCACGGCTTCAGGCATGGACGGGAACACGTTTCAAAGTGTGGCTCTCGCCTTGGCTCTGCGCACGCTCACCTTCAACGCGCGCAGTCGCTTCACGGACGGCGGGCAATTCACTTTCCAAGTGGGGCTCCCGCCTCAGCGCAGCGCCACGTTCGTCCCAAACTCACCCAGCAGCTTCAAAAGAGTGAGCGCTGGTGGCTTTCAGGGCGAGGCTCTCTCCGTAGCGCCACGGGCACTCTCTGTCTAGACGAGAAGGAAACAGCACAAACTAACTTTTGGCGCTCCTCGCGGATTTCCTGGATCTGCGCTGGAATCCCCTCCCTGGCGCGAGGGGGCCCCGGCGCGGATCCAAGAAATCCCCGCGGAGCGCCAAAAGTCTATGCCTATGGCATTCCTTCTTCGATTTTTGGTTGGGGGGCGGAGGACAGCTCTTTTTCGTACTGGGGCTCTCGCTTGGGTCGATGATCCTCAGAACGTGTGTTAGCCCCAACGTCTGTTTGTCCATCCAGGCCCTGCGATACGACGCAGGCGATGTAATGTTCTACTGGTTGGGCTGAAGGGGGTAACACACACACGCACACACACACACACACACACACACACACACACACACACACACACACTGGGCTAACACACTCGTCCCGAAAACCATCGACTGGGACTTCGTTGGCCTGCATGACCCGGAACCTCCACACATGCAGTGCTGCACGGATCCTGGGGGAGGCGTGTTTTTCAAAACCGAGCTCTCGCCCGACGTTTCCTCGAAGGTCATGGCCACTGCGCGCACTTTGCACAGCGTTTGCACGGATGCGGGGCGATCCTGATTCAAGAGGGAGATTTCGCTGCACACCCCGTCGAACAACATGACCACACGCTTCCGCAGTTCTGATGATGCGCCAGACACTGCAAACCAGCTATTTTTTCTCAGAGCGGGGCAGTCGCCACAGTGGCAGGCCCACCTGTGCTGGTTTTCCAAAAGGGTTTGGCGCGGTTCTTAAGGTGAATTGGGAAAACCTGTAAGAGCATCCGGGGAGGGGGCTCGAGACAGGAGGGTCGCATTGCAGCATCGCAAATAATCTTCGGTTTACTCCGGTGCCCCTTCTCCTTGCCGTCCTCCCTCCTACCTCTTTTCCTCCTCCTCCTGAACCTCTTCCTCCTCCTCCCTGCTCCTTCTCCGCCCATCTCCCCGTTCTCCTGCTCGTCCTCCTCCGCCTCCTTTCTTACTCGTCTTCCTCATCCTCCTCCTCCTCCTCCTCCTCCTGCTCCTCCTCCTCCTCCCCTCCTCCCCTTCTTCTCTCCTCTCCTCCTCCTCCCTCCTCCTCCTCCTCCCCTCCCCCTCCCCCTCCGTTCTTACTCGTCTTCTTCCTCCTCCTCCTCCTCCTCCTCCTCCTCCTCCTCCTCCTCCTCCTCCTCCTCCTCCTCCTCCCTCCCCCTCCTCCTCCTCCCCCTCACTTCGGGATCCTCGCTCGCGCGCCCTGCCCAAGTCGGCCCCCCCGCAATCAGCCGTCCTGCGGCGGGTGCGCGGCGGCTCTCCGACTCGCAGCCCGGCGCGCCGCCGTCCTGAGAAGCCAGGGGCGGCGAGCGAAAAGAGGGATCAGCCAGGGAGGAGGAGGATGATAACGAGGAGGAGGAGGAGGAGGAGGAGGAGGAGGAGGAGGAGGAGGAGGATAACGAGGAGGAGGAGGAGGAGGAGGAGGAGGAGGAGGAGGAGGGAGATAGGTACCCCAGGTGCTGATGTACATGTCCAGTGAGCAGGCACAACTAGGCGAAGACGGCACATCCATAAATCCATGACAGGCTTTCGACTCACAATTGGACTAAAGAACCAATGAAGTTGTTCCCAAGTCTGTACCCGACACACACACACACATATATATACCTATACGACCACCCTTCGGGTGATAAGGAGGTTCGGGGGGGGGGAGGAACCAACGTCTCACTCGATCGGTCTCACTATCGATCTCACTATCGATCTCAGTATCGGTCTCGCTCGATCGATCTCCCTCGATCGTTCTCACA